CTGGGAACCAAATCCAGCTCCTCTGCAAGAGCAGTGAGCACTCTGAACAGCTGAGTCATCTCCCCAGCCGCTGATAAACTCAGTTCTTAAAAATAAATGTTGGAGGAGCTAGACAAGGTGGCACACGTCTTTAATCCCAGCATTCGGGGAACGGCTATCTGTAAATTCACTGACTGCCAGGTCCACATAGTGAATTCCAGACCAGGCAGAGCTACACAGTGAGGCCCTGTCTCAAAGGGAAAAAGAAAGTTTGAGATAAACTTGTTAGAAAAAAAAAAAAAGCATGAAAGCAAGGAAAGAAGAGAGTACAACCTAGTCTTTTACAGAGTCTGAGGTCTGATAATGTGTTATGTCAAAGCAGTGAGCACCTGAAATTAGAGTAAAATGTGACCACTGGGCCATGTGAAATCCATTCTTTCCTAAATCAGGGAAGCATATCACCAGGTCTGAAAGCAGCTGACGCTACTCTAGCCCCAGATCTCATAGAGAGCCTTCAACCCATACAGATGTTCTTAATCCAGATTAAGGTAAGCAATAATAATACATGCAAAAATCTGTGGCACACTCCCCTTTATTGTGAACAAATACAATGAAAGACCATGAACTGATTAATAAGCTAAGAACTACAAATAAAATTCATATATATGCCCTGGAATAGGATGGAAACGATGTTTCTGCAGAGACTATATATATCTGCTGCATGTGTAGGGATGGTGGTCATGCACCAATTCTAGCTGCAGTCCAGAGGCTGAGGAGGAAGGATTGTGACAAATTCAAGGCTAACTTGATCAACATGGTGAGAACCAGGTCAACTGGGGTTACCTAGCAAGACTGTCACAAAAATATACATATAAGGTGAATAATAAAATACCTGTATCATTGGCATTCTCAAGTGATATAGATAGTTACAGACATGGGCAAAGGAGCTCATATAAAAGGGATGCTGCCTAAAGTCCCTGTTTTACACACTCCAGACGAGGCACTCGACACATCTTAACTGTGTGTGGCCACTTGGGCAATGAGTGCTGTACATGCATTGAATTCTAGAAGGCAACTAACTAGTAAATAAAAACCTGTGTGGTGCTTTACACAGCACTTCCTGGCTAGTGGAGAGAAAAAAAATCTACAGAACAGACATATTGCATTAACTTTCCAGCGTAGTACCACAATGTAACTGCTACACTGTATAGCTAACACTCTGGCTCCCTGAATATCTAGTTGTTTCTCTTCTCTGTCTTCTGATCCAAGTTCCCCCTGTCTCATCCCTTGAATAAAGATTTCTACTTTAATAACATAATATTTTGAATTTTTTATCTTAAATATTCGGCAGTTGAAATTGCATTCCTGTAATTATAATTATAACTAATAGACCTTCCATTTCCCATGTCATAATTAATGTCAGGTTTTATTAGAGCACAATCATGCTGTCTTTTCTCTTTTAAGACATCTTTTATTGTCACAACATTTATAGTACATTAAATTAACCAATAAAGTATCCTAGAATCCCTCTGAAGTGACAACTTTGTGTCACAGATTCTAGATTATTTGCTTAGAAAAACACATTTTTTATTGTTTTAAAATCACATATAAAGTATTTCCTAATAAGCTACTGTTTCAAAACCAATAGGAAAGAGAGTGGTGACTCAGTGATAAATACATTAGAGTTCCTAAAAGGTAGTTTAATGTGCTCTTGGGAAAGACGAATGAGCTAATGACCACAAACAAATATCCAGAGGTCATCCTTGCTGGTTGCAATAAGGACACACACAAAGGATCAACTTCAGAGCAGCAAAATGCATTTTGATACCAACAGATTAGTGATTTTCTTCTAAATCATATCCCAAAATGCTTTCTTCTAAATAGTACCCAAAAACTCAATCTTTACTATTTAACTATTCAAATAAAGCTGAAACCTACAGGCAAAACTGAAATTAGAACTAAGAAATGTTGTATAACTGTGCCAATTTAAAATATAACGGGGTGGTAGCATAAAATTAATAGCTTCTCAGAAGTTAAGTAGCATTTTACAAGCCAGCTGCAAGATACATGGTACACTTAGGAGAGACATCCACACTTAAGGCAGGATGCTGGACCTTTACTTGGAACTCGGGAGGGGCAAGCACTGTGCTCCTGAGGCACACACGGTGGCCGACTCTAACATCCACACTGTATTTGACCCACAGGTAATGCAATTATCTCTTACAGACCCATCCCTTAAAGTTTTGCCTCATTAGACTCCTTCAATTTCTCCCTGTTTGGTTCACATAGTATAAATGCTCTATTCCATACTATGCATGTCTGTGGTTCACATAGGATAAATGCTCTATTCCACACTATGCATATCTGTGTTTGCAATATAAACATGAGGAGACACATGTGGAACAAATCACAGAATCACAAAAAAGGTTTGATTTTACTCTTTTTTGGCACTACACATAGCAAAACCACAAAATTTTCAATATATTATACAAGTCCCATTGATTGACTATTTGTATTAATTTATATAATTTCTATCTATACTTATTTAAAATCATCAATGAACTGTATTGCAGCAAATGAAAATACAGTTAGAGATAAGCATAATAGCAGCTAACAGAATTTGAAATTCACAGAGAGAAATGTTTCCTACCTACAGTAAAGTCCATTGGCTTAAAAGGTATTTAATTACGGAGATCCAATGGCAGATAGGAACAATCTCTAAACTCAAATCCCTAGGAAGAATTTCAGGTTTCAAAGATGCCAGCCCTCATTCAACGGGCTTATTTTTCTAAATTGTAAACCATCTACAAAACAGATATTTATTCTTTTTCTCCCTCTTCCTTGAAAACAACCCAAAAGTCCAGAAAAATATAGCTTTAAAAAAAAAAAACAAAAACCTCTTAAAGTGAGTCCTGGAATAGGATAGGACCAATTTTTCTGTAGCGACTAGGCCACGCATCTTCCTATCCCTCAACCCAATGCTTATCCAGACCTAGCAAGTCGTGACATAAAAACTTAAAGGGCAGTTCTGGTTCTGCCCCCATGCTCTCTTTTTTTTTTTTATTTTTATTTTGCAATACAATTCAGTTCTACATATCAGCCACGGATTCCCTTGTTCTCCCCCCTCCAGCCCCCCTCACCTTGCCCCCCAGCCCACCCCCCATTCCCACCTCCTCCAGGGCAAAGCCTCCCCGGAGGACTGAGATCAACCTAGTAGGCTCAGTCCGGTAGGTCCAGTCCCCTCCTCCCAGGCCAAGCCAAACAATCCTGCATAGGCCCCAGGTTTCAAACAGCCAACTCATGCAATGAGCACAGGACCTGGTCCCACTGCCTGGATGCCTCCCAAACAGATCAAGCCAATCAACTGTCTCACCCTTTCAGAGGGCCTGATCCAGTTGGTGACTCCTCAGCCATTGGTTCATAGTTCATGTGTTTCCATTCGTTTGGCTATTTGTCCCTGTGCTTTCTCCAACCTTGGTCTCAACAATTCTTGCTCATATAAACCCTCCTCATTCTCGCTAATTGGACTCCCAGAGATTCCCCGGGCCTAGCCGTGGATCTCTGCATCCAGATCCCTCAGTCGTCGGATAGGGTTTCTAGCACGACAATTAGGGTGTTTGGCCATCCCATCACCAGAGTAGGTCAGTTCGGGCTGTATCTCGACCATTGCCTGTATCTCGACCATGCCAGCAGTCTGTTGTGGGTCAAAGTGCTCGCCTTATATTTAAGGCAACTTTTATAGCACGGTTCGCCCATCGGTTTGCGTCGAGAGCCCCCATGCTCTCTTAAACAGCTGACCCTGGTAGGCCCTCTGGACCTAGGTAGGGTCACAAACAGAGGCTCTGCCCTCAAGAAACCAAACCTGAGGTGAAATGTACTCAGGCCCTACGAGTGTCAGCCAGACAGGAAACACAGTGTTGTTGGGAAATTACTGTGGTTTCAGGATGTTGAGGCATGCTTTATAGTGGTCAATATCCTCAATCCTTTACAGAAGCTGAGGGAGAGCCTCTAAGTCACAGGGCCATCTTGCGTTGAACTCTAAGGGACATTCATAATAAAGCAGGTTGTTTTATTCAACTTAAAACCTGGAAGCAGCTTTCTGGCCCCTGAAGCAGAACTCAGCAGTTACTAGAGTGGGTGCAATAGTTCTTCCATAAAGGATGTCCATACACTTGAATCCAGATGGAAGGAATTGTGATGTACTCAAGTATCTCCACATCTAATAGCTACAATAATGTTAGTAATAAAAATGTACAGGTGTATGGTGCCCTCCTTATAAAAATTACCCTTTATTTGACACATCTTCTCAAAATCCCTACAAGTGTAAAAAGCTTGTGTCCTAATGTCACAGATTTACAGCAGGGAAAACTCAATAGAGATGAGCTAGTAAGTTTTTGAGTTTCAAATTAAATGATGGCCAAACTTGGCAGTAACACTTGAAGTCAATTTTAAGCTTCCTTTACCTTCAGGAAGACCTCTTTCCTCTGATGGATGATATGTAGTAGAATTTTCTAGCTCTCTGAGACAAAGCTGAACCCTATGAAAGAAGCTGAAACCTGGATTTTTTTTTTCTGTTCCCTTTCTAATGTGTAAGAATTCTTACTTTAGGGCCACTGCAATATTTGACCACAATAATATTTTTGAAGTTATCAAGTGTAAATGCCTAACATAAAAGACTATTATTTTGCAAGCATTGGTTCTAAATAACATTACCATAGCAAAATTTAAAAAAAAAAAAGAAAGAAAGAAAACACAGGATCGAGAAAGAAATTATAATTTGCTGCTCTAGGTTGAGTGTGTGTAAAATTATACTTCGTACCTTCTTTGAACTGGTTTCATTTTCAGACACTATTTTGATCACCATCACATGGCCAAGTCATTTGATAACCATATGGGATAAAATCAGAAGAAGCCATTTACAAAGCAGTGGTCAGAAGCCACCCAGTCTGACAACAGTAATCAAATGGGCAGAGGAGGAGAAAGGCTGATTTACATAGAACTCCATCAAGGGGCAGGCCTACCTGAATCGTATGCAAAGTCTCTGGGTTCCTGTTTGATCATCAGAGGAGGGGGGAAGCTTTGGCTGGCCGCACCTCCAACCATGGTGTTATGTTCATAGACTGGGTCGTGATACTCCTGCTTAAAGCCTTGAGGTGGGAAGGGGATGTTTGGCTCAGACATCTGGCGTTGGTACATAGGACGCCCTTCCCTTGGCAATGTCGGCAAAGGAGGAAAAGAATTACAGGGTTCAGAAAGCTGGCGACGAAATCTGGAGAAGAGAGAGTGTTTCAGATGAGAAGATAACACAAAATTGTCTTGAAAGGACTAAAACAATGCCTAACTGCTGGGGAGCAGTTTAATACCAAACAGTCCAATGTGAACCGATTTAATGAACCTCAGATTTCTGTTTTTTAGAACAGCAGTGCTATGATTTTTGAAATCACATGATGATGTGTGTTCCCCTTTTAATCCATCCATCGCAAACACTTCAGCAGATCGTGCAATTAAAGGTGTACTGCCAGTAGCTGTAGAACAATGAACTGTTTTGAATAAATATGAACCCTAACTGCTAAAATGACCAATTTTAAACTAATTGGATCATTTACATAACTTCTGGAAAAAAGGGTTCTCAAACAATTACACGTCAGAAAAAGCAGGAACAACAGGGTCTGATCTCCAACGCACTCCTTCTCTTTAGGTTCTGTCACCAAACTAATCAGCAGCCAGACAAAAACCTCCTTCCTGGCTTCCTTCCATAACCATCCCTAGTGAGGGAAGCATGAGAGAACCGAATCTCTTCTCAAATCAGCAGGCCCTTAAATTCTTCAACAGCGTCCAAATTAACAACGTGTTCTTGCAACAAATAAATTTTGGGATTATAGGGCTTATGTTTCTTTTTTAAAGACTGTCTCTGTCCTGTCAAACAGCAGCGCAGGACATACAGGCTTCCACAAGTTCCAAACTATTGAGTTGGTTAACAACTAAGCCTATGTACAGAGCCAACCACCAAAGATGAAGATAATAATACACAGAGGTTGAGCAGGTCTGGGGTTAGCCAGGCCGTGAGGGCATGAGGGAGCTCTGAGGCCTAGGCCGAGAGCTAGAAGTGAAGCCCAAGCTCCTTCATTCTTGGTAACGATTGGCTAATCACACAACTGTTCTGTGCTGTGTATCTCAGCCGTAATATCATTGACCCACCACAAAGATGTGGACTAATTAAAGATTTAAAAGTACTCTAAAAATGCCTCAGAGTGCTTAAAAAATAACCTCTAAAACATATCCATAAGCAAATATCAACCTATTAACCCCCCCACACACACACACACACTAAAAGCGTTCATGAGACTTTAATTTTGAAAGTTTAGCATTTAATTTCAGTAATGTTAAATGAAAATAAGATAAAAGCCAAAGAATGGCAAAGCAATTGCTTTAGCATTTCGAAGCATGATCCATGCCAGGGCTTAACTCTAGGTATACCGGCTGCCATGAAAAGCATGGAAATTCCACTTACACCTGCACAAAATAAACTTAGAAACTCAGATATTGTGAAACAGCTAGGCTGGCTGGCACTGCATTCATTTCCCTTCTCTTGCTTATTTCATTAGCCAAAAAAAGAAACAGAAATTATCATTAAGAACTGTCAAGGAGTGAATCAGAAAATTGTAACTTGGAGATAAAATAAGAAGCGGGCTCACTTGTGAAGCCTTAAAAGGAAGCTAATAATGCCTGCACTGAACGCTTTGTAAGGAAGCAAGCCACTGGCTTTTACGAGGCAACCTGATTTGTACTTGTTCTTAGCTAGAGGCCACATTTGTGTCGGTGACACACTTCCCAGCAAGATGTATGGTCTGTGTGTCATTCTGATGAGCCACTGACCAACGGGAAAGAGCAAGAGATGGAGAGGAAAGTTTGGTGATGGAGGACAGTATGCTAATGCACTGGGGGCACCACTGAGGGAAACAGGCAGGTCTCTTGCACAGAAGGTTCAAGAAAAAGTGCCAAAGGGCTGGCCTGAGGTGTGCAGGGAGGCTGAGGGGAGGAAGCGGAGTGCAGGCCAGCTGGCTATAAACCGTTCCCAGAGTAAGGTGGGGTGCCGGGGCTGGAGGTGGCTATCTGAGGAAGGGATCTGTTCCCAGAGCAAATTTGCCATTTATAACCAAGGGACTGCCATTTGTTGGCCAGAGCCCTCTAAGAAATCCTCATCAGAAACATAAGGTTTCCGAGATTTTCCTGGGATTGGCCAGCTGGTACGGTCCTCAAAACTCAGTGGGGGGGCACTGGGAAAAGACCCCGAGCTTCCCTCGGGTAGTTCCGGGCCGGCTGTTCTCAGTCTCAAGTACTTGACATCAAGTTGAGATACCAAAATGGATTTGGCTGAAGCATTTCCAGTTAGGTCATCTAAAAACAAGCGCACTACTTACTCAGCAGTCCCCATTGCCTTAGAAATAGCCAGCCTGCGCAGAGGGCAGACGATATAACCCATAATCCAGTGCCCATTTGAATTGTGGGGGGCTTGGTGCTGACAAATTCGGGGAGGTCTTCAGAAGTGAACAAAAGCAATTTTGATAGTGTTTTATGTCCCCCGCTATTTCTTTCTGGTCCTGCACAAAGCGCTTGCTTCTATTTAATGGCCCACCCTGCAATAGGCATTCTTTCATCTGTATTTACAAAGCTGTTTACACAGATGCACACAGCCCTTCACTTTAAATACCTCTCAAGTCTACGGGGTGGAAAGGGAAAGACAATAGGAGGCATTTAGTCACTGAAGCATGGGGGCCCTGGGTCCTGGGGCAAAGGTAGAAGACATGACTTGGCTTCACACGGGAAAGTACGATTTCATCCTCTTCCTTTATAGCAAGGAGGGCCTGTATTTGAGACTGAGATACAAAGTGTCCCTTTATATATCCAGATTAGCCTGTGGTTCACCTGCTTCCTCTGTGAACTAGGAGGAGTCCTTTCAATCAGCTGTTTTTACAGCAATGTACCTCAGTCAGTTATGGTTGTTGCTCATGGATAAATGTTTGGGATTTGGGAGGACCAATTGCTAATGTAATCCTATATTAAGAATCTAAGCCGGGCGGTGGTGGCACACGCCTTTAATCCCAGCACTTGGGAGGCAGAGCCAGGCGGATCTCTGTGAGTTCGAGGCCAGCCTGGGTTACCAAGTGAGTTCCAGGAAAGGCGCAAAGCTACACAGGGAAACCCTGTCTCGAAAAACCAAAAAAAAAAAAAAAAAAAAAAAAAAATTTAATTATACAACTTTTCAACTAAAAGGCAGATTGAAAACAGAAAGGCAATAGAAACTCTAAGCTCTGAATTTCCTAATGATTTCACTCCTAATTGTGCTCTTAGAATTGAATGCAGGCTACAGATAGTACCTAGTGGAGTGTGACACACGTTTCTTTTCAGTTAGTATTCAGGGCTCTCAAAAAGACAGTCACACATGACGTCGTATTTTATCATCAACTCGGTACACACTTCAGATAAGGTCTTTTTCTCCCATGGAGACTATTGTTAAAGATTTTCCAGGACAGAACTGGTTATAGGGGGAAATGTAGGTGGGAGGAACTTCGCCGGGCAGAGGGACCCTGTGTCCTAACGCAGCACATACTGAGGTGGTACTTCCTCCAGCATTGTATTATACTTGGATTTCTTCATCTCTACAAGTCAACCGTTTCCTACAACCACCCGCTCACTAGTTCCACACTCCTCTCTGTCTTCATTTCTAAGGGACAGTCGTTTGGCAGTTGTCTCTGAAGCACATTCTTAGTGTCCACAGTCATGGGGGTCTACTGACATTAAACAGTCATTGAAAAGGAAAGCAAACAGATTAATCCAGTAGGTTATACTCTGTAGACTTGGATTATGGAGAACCAAATAATTCAATGAATGGTAAGGAATCTCATTTCATAAGACACCCACTAAAAACAGTCTACTAACTTTGCAGAGCAAGTGCACGCATATGCTCACGGAGAAGCATGATCTGATGTGAAGACTGAGTGAAGTGATTCAAGAAGTGAAGGAGAAATGTTCAATTGTCAGTCTACAGACTGATTTTCCATGCTAGCAGCCAATTTAATTGTTTATAAAAGAAATCTTCTCCACAAATTCTCTTTTAGATAAGACAGGGCAAGCTTTACTAGAACTATTTTGTACAGATGTGCCAAATTAATATGCTTAGCTTAAAACACTATAGATCTTCACAGCAGCTAAGAGTAATGTCCTCCATGACAGCTGACACTGGTGGAAGTGTGGGCTTGTCTTGTCTGAACTGGCATCTGCCGCTTACCTGTGGTCCATGGGGTAGGTGCCGTCTGGTATGGACTGAGAAGGAGGGGGGTGAGCTGGGAAGGCCCGGTCAGGTTTCGGAGTATGAGCTGTGTTTGGAGATGCATGATGTAGTGGGGACACTGGAGTACTGGATGGTGTCGGGGGGTTGGAGGGCCTCATTCCCACGTGTGGCTTCTGATCATAGGCACTACCCAGAGAACAAAAGAGAGAACAGGCTGCGTTGGAGTAATTTTTAAAGATTCCCATCCTCGGAAAGAAAACACATCTTAGGCATAAGTGATAAGGAAACTAAAACCTTTGGATTTTTTGTTGTTGTCGTTGTTGTTTTTTAATTCTAGAACTTAAAAACTTCAAAGTCCCAAAATGGAAAATAGAACATGAAATCATATAACAACATGAATATTTGTAACACAAATTTTTAGTAACTAGACAACTTAGTTAAGGAAGACCCCTGCAGCTGAGGGCTCTCCATCAGCTCCATCGATTCTCCACATACACCTTTCAGTAAGCTGGACAGATCCGTCCTAAACCATTAAGTACCTCATCATAATTCTCCCTCTATATTACATTTTAAAACAAGACCTAATATTAGCTTAATAAGAGAGACCATATTTGATTTGCCTTTATTTGTGGTAGAACTTTAAGGCAGTGCTGTTGCCTTTGTGGATGTTTTATATTAAATAAATGATGTTTGGCCTTGAATTCCTCACGTGGCATAATAAAGATTAATGAGGCAAATTAAAATGTCTCAGATATATTTAAACTTTCTTTGATTATGAGTGCAAGATAATATTATTAAGAATAAAATCCTATTAGCTTAGACTAACTTCCACTCTCAATTACAAAAGCAAAAAAAAAAAGTAACCTGTTCGTTTCATATTATGAATTTAAATTGCTTCCCAATGTGTGGTTCTCTGGAATATGACTGAACTAATGTCTCCAATCTAGAAAAGTACCTTACTAAAATCAGATTTTACTTTATGAACAACAACAAAAAATATTTCCGTGTAAAGTATTTAGATTAACTCTTCTAATAAAAATATTAATGTGAACTGGGTAAGGTGGTGCGTGCCTTTAAACATAGTAGAGCAGGCAGTTCTCTGTGAGCCAACTGGGTCTGCAGACTGAGTTCTATAGCCCAGCCAATGCTACCCAGTGAGATCTCATCTCATATACATACAGTGACAGACATTTGAAAATAGCTATTTCTGTCAGATTAATGTGTAATAACTTACAGTTTCTCTATTACTACAACAGAATTATATCCAAGTTTACATATGCTTTCCAGAAGGGCAGGGGCATGTGCTACATACATCTACTCCAGCTTTAAAGTAATCTGTACTCATATGCAGAACACTGGGAAGGGAAATTAGTGGAGGAGAAAAGAGAGGAACTGGAAGGGAGGGAATAGAGGAATAGATTTAATCAAAACACATTTTACACAGTATGAAATTCACTTGTGTTTAGTTCCACATATGTTCTTTACTGATATTTCTGAACAAAAACATGTTCTTTTCATAAAGTGGTTTGGTCGAGTCTTTCCCATAAAGAAGAAACAAATGACTAATTATCCTAAGATACTACTCTCTTCCCGCATAAGCTGTTATATTAAACCTTATTATTAGAGAGCAATGGAAGTACTAGAATGTATTGTATATACCATATATGCTGAGAGAGATGTTAGTTTCCACAAAACCCTCCAAACTGTCAGCCAATTCCTCAACTGTTAATTTATGGATCAGAGATATATTATTGGATCAAATAGTGTTTTTATTGTCACCATAATGATAAGTGCTGAATTGAAAAGAGAATCCTATATCTAACCTGTTCAATGACTGGAAATTCTCCAATGTTCAAATAACTGTGATATGAATACATGCCTTAAGGAGAAAATGCAAACAACAAAACTAAATCTTCAAACGTGTATTAATATCTTGCGTGAACACAATATGCTTACATAGTTCACTTTGACAATAGATACGTTTTATAAAACTTTGTAGTTTCAACTAAGCTGCCCCATAAGTTCAGTGGGCCTCTTCGGAAGTCAGACATCAAACAATAAATTTCAAGAACAAATGGGAACAAAAGATCTCAACATTGGTCCGTTGCCATGAGATGGTACAATTTAATTTTCTTGAGTCCTACATCTCACAGATGGGAAAGAGGGCATATAGGAGATGTATTCGCAACAACACAAGATTCCTCAGGATCCTAATGCATTATGAGCTTGAATGGATACATCTTATAAAACAGTGCACATATTTGAAATCATTTTTTATAAGTTCTCAAACCACCTCCCTTTAAGAACTAAGTTTCTACTGTAATCAAGAGTAATAGTCAATAGGTAGCGCCAAGTTCTTTTTAAATGCAATTGGAGGCCAAGATGAAAAGTAAAAGCATGCAATTCACTACAAAGGGTTTTTAATGAACATATGTGTTATGAAATTTTCTAGCAAATGAACAATGTTCTTCCAATGCACCACCCTTTATTATCTCTCAAGAACAACTGGCTTTTTAATAGATAATAGCCTTGGCTAGGCCTTATAAAATTCTAGTTTTATTGCAATTGTCCATGAATGCATCTTATAGATCATCTGTAAAGCCTATCAGATAACTAATGTACTGCTTTTGCTTGCCAAATGTTGTATTTTTTCCCGACAAACTCTTTATCTAAAGTAAATAATGCATTCATTCCGATGGGAACCTTCAAAGGTGCCGGTGCCAAGTAAGACCCTCTTTTCAAACCCATGATGCTTCAGTACGGCAGAAAAACAACTGATGATTGAGATGAGAATTATTACTTTAAAATGATGCTAACGTGTGTGATTGTATGGCAAATGGGTCTTTAAAGCTCTGCTGAATACATTACCTAATTAGCTTATTATAGAATGAAGCTATAACCCATAAAATTGACTTGAGATTGTTACATCATTCTGTACTTTCTGTTTCAGAAAGCAATGCTGCTCTCGAAAAGAGCACCGAGCTACTTACCTGACACTGTACAGGCACTTTTCTCCATAGCTGAATTTAAAGGGCTGCTCTTGACTGCAGGCAGACCCGAGTTCTGAACATGGGCTGTGGGGTTCTTTCTTGATTTTCAGTGGTAGGCCATGAAAAGCCACTAAAAACAGAACAAAAATATCCATATAAAGATTCAATTCAATTAGGAATTAAGTCTATTAGTTTGTTTTATTCTCTTATTTAAAGTATCGTTAACATTTCATAGTAACTTATGCTTGTAAGAACAATAAAATTTGGTAATCCATGAGGCTGAAAGGATTCTGGATATGTTCTGTGCTCTGCATGCCCCCCCCTTCTGCTTACAGCGTGTAACAAAATGCAAGCCTGAAATGTTTTTCTGCTAAAGTAAATCAAATCAGTAGTAATTTGCTTTGCTGATATTAACAATTCTAGAAGCTCAGTTTTCAGAAAAGAAGTTTTGAAAACATGTCATAAAGATTTCCAATGACTAAAACAGAGAAAAAAATGCAGCTGTGAGTCAAGGCTGGAGTACAGCTTTAGGTGTTATTCAGTAGTAATGCTTCAGTAGCAACGATTTCATAGTTCATGACAAAGAACTTCTAGGTGTAGGTCCAAAGGAAAGCCTGCAGTAAGGAGAAGTCCCGACATCTTTGAGGCCAATAGTTATTTTTCAACAGAAACTAAACTACCTGGCAATCTGTTTACCAAAACTATGAAGATAAAATATGATATATGAAACTATAATAAAAATTATTCTGTATCAAATGGTGTTCTCCTTGTTCATATAATTTAGTGTGTAGCGGTGTTTAAAGCATAGTTACAGTTCATGTACATTCATTTGTGCTTAATTTAATATAGATTATGTCATAAAATATGCACTACAGGAAATCTATATACATATATTCACATAAATGTGCTTATTTTATGACTAAAAAACCAACTAATAAATTTCACTGTGTTTTTAGAAGTCTGATGATCACTCAAGGGCTCACTATATTCTCTTTAGATTTATTTCCCTATTAAATGTCTATGATAAAAATTCTGATCCATGGAAAAGAAAACCACAAAAGCATTCACAGTGTCCACTAAGAAAACTTTCTCCTCCTGTATACATGTGATACATGTGTGTACACTCTTTCAGTAATTTGTAGAATAACAAACATGTATGTTGCAACACATTTATTGGTATCTTTGGCAAAACTTCTTAATTATTTACTAGCTCTGTGAACATAGACAACAAAATACATGTACTAAATCTCTAGCACTTTGAATTAAAACCTAGGTTTACATTTTATTAAATCAATTTGCCTCAGAGAAGAAACTTAAAGATCTGGGAACTCAGATTTAATTTTCATGAATAAAAATTTGTGAAGACCTAAGATGCTATATTTCTATATTTTTGGTACAAAGGGTATGAAAAGGTTAATAAAATACAACTTGCAAACTACACTTAAACCAAAAGAAAAAAAAGCAAATTAAGCTTTACTAAAATTAAAACTGTCTCTTTAATTGTAACATTAGAAGTACAAAGAAGAAGCCATAAGTTCCACGATGCTTGCAAGAGAAAGATCTGCTAAATAATTCTTATTTAACATAGAAGGAATTGTTGTATAGCAATACAAATGACCAACTGGAATGGCAAAAGACTTGGCCAAGTGGTTCATAAAAGAAAATACCCTAATAGCAAGATAGAGTGGATAACAAAAATAAGTGAAAATGTAATCAAATTTTGCTCATCAGGAAATTGCCAATAAAAGCACAAATTATCACCCAATACTCATTAGAAAAACTAAAATGTAAGATCTGACAATATTGATACTGAAGAAAAATAATTGGATCTCTCATTTATGCTGCTAAGAGGATGGGTTGGTATAAACATCTCCAAAAAGGGTGTGGCTACCTGCTAAGGTACAACATGAATGTGCCTTATGATCTAGTAATTACACTAATATATATTCTCATGTATGTGTGCATGAATATATGAGAAAGGAGTGCATATGTTTCCCAAAAGACGTATGTAGAAATGTTTGTGAAAGTTTATTCATGAAAAGAAGACTAAAAATGTTTTAAATATTCATTGGTGGAGGTAAATCAGTAAAGCATGGCATCTGCAGGCACAGAACATTCAGAAATAGCAGGGAAAAAAGTACCTTCCAACGGGTCCACAAACACAGATGCTCTCACAGCTATGGAGGTAAGCCCTGCAATTTCCAAAACAAAGCTAACTGGGAGTGTACAGCTTTCCTTCTGTGGTAAGTATGTGGTTTTGCTCTAAGGCTCAGTTAAATTAAGTCTCTAAGTTAAGCTGTAACTTCATGGCTAGCATCACATTTACACAAAGGGGAGATGTGGACAAGAGATATGGACTCGAGAGACCATCCCATGAAGCTGAAGGAAGACATCAAGGTTGAGGATTCTGCAAACCAAGAAATGCTAAAGATTGACAAGAAAGTGGCAGAGACTGGGGGAAGAACTGTGGAGCAGATCCTCTCTTATTCCTCAGAACCCTGCTCACATCTTCACATGGCTCTGTAACCTCTGAAAATTAGACAAGCCATACCTGTTTTTAAGCCACTCAGGACATGACACTTCGTTATTGCAGCCCGATCAAATTAATGCCCCATTCCCAGTAATTTTTGTCACCAAGTTGGCTGTGTAATGATTTTATGTTACAGAAATTTCTAGGGGATTATCGTAACTGGACAAATGCTGCCTCCAACGTGAGGCTTGGCAGCACCAATGTACATTGTATTCAAGTAGATCAGCACTTGAAAAATCCTTCCAGGTGCCAACACCTGTAGGCTCTTCATCTTGTAGAACTCCAGCTCTAGCAGTGGAGGGCTTTGGCTATCTTTACAGCTTCAGTCTATGCATGTGGGGCTGTTAATCACCATGGGCCAGGGATTCATTTTGTCTTTACTTGTCAGAAGCCAAATGACTAACCGGACAGAACTAAGATGCCCAGGAATTTTTGTTTGTTTGTTTGTTTGTTTTTTTTCAGGTTTGCTGTTGTGGTTGTTTAATTTCTGCAGGTGAGGAATAAAACTTAAAGCCAAACTGAAGCCTTCAATTATCAGCACAAGAACATGAGGTTTCTCTTATTTTCCTCATTTTAGCTTGCTTGATTACTGGGGACCCTACCGATGACTTCATGTATACAACTTTTTTTAAATTTCCATTTGCATGGGGGATGTAGAGACTCCTGGTAGAGAGGGCTGAGCTGGAAGCTGGCTAGGTATATTTCATCACAGGACTCGAGGCTTAGCGGCTGCTAATAGGAGGTTTTTCCAGATCATTGGCACCAGCGCAAGAGAAAGCAGCACATTCATTTCATGCAATTTGCTGTACCTTCCCACATGGAGTTGGTGCATGTAAAAGGCTGTTAAGTACTAAATTATTCCTTATCAAATCACCATCATCTGGAGTCATGATCAACACTAATTAAATTACTTTCGCTGAACACGGCTCCAGCCTGCTGCAGAGGCTGCTTACATTCCGCTTGCAGTGCCGTCGTCCCTGGGTCTGGAACACAGACCTGCAGGCATCGGCATTGTTTGTAGTTTAATTAAAGTGAATCTTTCCTTTTTCAAGTGAATTAAATCAAGTGAGTTAGCCTCTTCATTTCACTGACAAAGAAATGATGTTTCCAAATGATACTTTATTCCTGACTTCATAGAGTTCGAATCATTGATCTTTGTATGAAATTCACAGTTCACCCTAGGCATTCCTCAAAGAGGGTTCCTGTGCAAACTTTGAAGACCCACAGTTCTAGGAATCAACTCTTCTAGGGAGAGGCAGCTAGAACACTTGAGATGTGCCTTGCATTCTGTGCTTTGATGGAAGCTTGACCTTTGAAACCATGTCTTAAGTCTGACTAATGATGACTGAGTTTGTCTAGTGGTTAAATTTAAGAGTTCCAAAATACCGGGACTTAAAAATATACACTTCCAAAAAAAATTTAACCACTTCTTAACCCGAGAGTTTACTCTCGGTATTCATTGTTAAGTGACTGGTAATTTAGTGATTGTTCTCTTTTTAGAACTGTGAACTGTGAGACATGCATACTTCCTTTTATTTTCTACCTACATCTTAGAAAGAGAAACAGTTCAGTCCGAACACTACAGAAGTACCGAGACACCCTTGGCTCTCCAAGAGTGAGGATGCTACTTTAAAAGCACATCTTTGATTGTGCAAAAACACAATATAAATAACATGTACGTAGAGAGAATGGATTAAATTCTCTCAGGAGAATACTTCCATAATCATGACAATAAGGCATTCCCTGTAACCTTCTGCTGAGAACAGACCATATTTGTTATAGCTATCCACTAAACCCTCATCCACAAATAGATGGAGTTTCTGTGCATGGTTCCGTTTAGAACCCTAATGGGAAACGGCAACCATGTTTGAAAGTAACTCAAATTTACATGATATTTTATGATCTTCAAAGAACCACCACAGCTTCTACTTGGACCATTCCAGTTTGGTAGCTTTTGTTGTTGCTGTGGTTTTAAGGTTGGACTTGACTGTCAATCAAATGCTCAGATGTTGAAGTCTTGGTTCCCAGTTTGAGGCATTGTGCTGAAGAGAGGAACCCTTTAGGAGGTAAGACATAGTGGAAGGTTGTTGGAGTGGACTTCGAGACATCGGTGCCTCTTTTTCTTCCTAGATTAAGAAGTCTCTGTGGCATGATACATTGTGTACTACAGATAAAAGAAGCATAGCCAGCCACCTCAAATCTCCAAAGCCATTAGCCAAAATAAATCTTTCTACTTTTTGTTTTATTGGGTATTTAGTCACAGAAATAGCAAGTAACATAGTCATAAAGAAGTGTAAGCATGCTGTCTTGGTAAAGATCTAAGACTAAATTATAGCAGGTTAAGACTTAGTTTTGGGCTGGAGAGATGACTCAGTGTTTAAGAGGACATTGGTTTGATTCCCATCACCTACAAGGTGGTTCATGACCATTTGTAGCTCTAGTTCCAGTGGATCTGATGTCCTCTTCTGACGCTCCCAGGCACCAAGCATATATGTTCACAGACATGCATGGAGGCAAAACATCCACACATAAAGCACACATAGTTTAAAAATTGAAGTATTATTACATGCCTATAATCCCAGCACTGGGAGTGGAAAGCA